TTCTTTCCAATCAGTGTGAGGTTCTTGTTACTTCTTATTTTGAACACAATTGGGTTTCTGTTCGTCATTTCAACCTCCACGTGTATAAAAAAAATATCTCATTTGGCAATCTTTCCAAATATTTAAAAATTATATCGAAAATATAATTTAATCAAAATTAACCGTATTTCATCATTAACATCATTGTAGTAAATATGAGTGGTTTTGTAAAATTCAAGAAACATACTGTAGCTCCAATAATGCATTGGTTATCAATACTACACCAGCATTGTCTATTTGAAAAACAATTTACAAATAAAGCTTTAGCCAAAATCTGCTTAATTTCCACCCTTGATTCCCCGGTCGGTTAGCATTAACTTTATGGACTTACAAAAGTAAAATCCGGGGTTCGATTTCTCGCGATGTATATGGTGCAGATAACCTGTTGTGTAGTTTTGCTCTGAAACAAACGTAGTAAAGTACAGTTGCAATCCAATTCCTGATTCTATGAAAGCGTATTTATCGCTTTATCTGTTCCACATTATTGATTCAATTGCGTACAATAATTTCATCATTACATGGTACGTAATTAAATTTACGAATTTGCAGGTAAACTAAGCCATTGGATATGTACAAGCCATTATAAAGGGGCTTCTCTGTGCTCATTACTTCACGTCAGAAAAAAAAAACATGTTGTTGGGCTGAATACTGTGAAATTAGTCTGGATTAAGTATGTATAGTAAATTAGAATAGTAAAAAAATGCTTAAGTTTAGCTGAAAGGCAGTGTCTCAGGTCGGTGTAGGGTATAGTATTAAGTTTGATATTTAAGATATTTGATATAGTATTGATTTGTTTTAAGTACTTGCTCACATATATTTCTGTGCGTCAAAATGTATGCACATTGCAATATTACGCAGTGTTTGTTTCACAATAAACCGTCTGTTGTCCAACATTTATTTCCTTCACACTTACATCAGGCAACAAGTTAACTATGTGTAAGAGTGTCGTTAGCCACTAAAAAGGTTCAGGGTTTGGGCCCCAAGAAGCAGCAATTATTCAAATTAATTAAAACATAATTACAAAGCAATATATTATAGTTTACTTAATTAAGATAGATTCGGGACACAGTGTAATACATACGGATCATGGGTTCTGTGAGCCATTGCCCAGAGACGCCCTTGACTATGTGACAGTTTGAAGACACTATCTTTATTATTTCTTCATTTTTTTACAGAATTGATTGGATGCCGCCACATCTGTTTGGAATTTGGTGAAAGAGAGTGTGTTCTTTCAAGTTCTGTGCTGAAATCATGCAACTACAACCAAAAATATTATTACTGATGGATCCTGGTTAACAAAAACCATTATAATGTAGTGTAATTGTAACCCAATAAAGAATTTCTTAAAGGGCCTTCTCATGCAACTAAAACCAAAATACTGTTACTGATGGATCCTGGTTAACAAAAACCATTATAATTTAGTGCAATTGTAACCCAATAAAGAATTTCTTAAAGGGCCTTCTCATGCAACTAAAACCAAAAATATTGCTACTGATAGATCTTGGTTAACAAAAACCGTCTTTACTTAGTATAACCCTATATAGAATTTCTTAACGAGCTTACTCATGCAACTGAAATCGAAAATATTGTTTCTGATAAATCATGGTTAACAAAAACCGTTTTATCTTAGTTTAACCTTACAAAAAATTTCTTAAAGAGCTTACTCATGCAACTGAAATCGAAAATATTGTTTCTGATGAATCATGGTTAACAAAAACCGTTTTATCTTAGTTTAACCTTACAAAAAATTTCTTAAAGAGCCCACTTATGCAATTACAACCAAGAATATTGTTACTGATGAAATTTAGCTAACAAAAACCGCTTTAACAGATTGTAAGGCAATAAAGAATTTCTTGAAGTGCCTAAAATGAGGCGTGAAGAATAGATTGGCGTTTCTGCCTTCATCACAACATTAGAATAACACGTTGTTCTTTAATGTAAAAATACATTACTTTGATGTGAGTATTCGAAAGTAATTCACTGTCCTCTTAAGGTCTTTAATTTACTACCAGGTTTCATAACACCAAAGTTAAAAGCGAAAAAAATCGAAATTCACTTATGTTTAATAAGAAGTGAATATACAAATACCATGTGCAGTAATCTAAAATAAAGTTTAAATCCACTATTACTGAACAATAACAAATTTATATGGATACATGTTTCAATACTTTCACGCGCTCCCAGTTCAACTGAAGAAGATACGTGAAGTGTTGAAACTTGTGTCTGTATAAATTTTTTGATGGTCCCTAATAGTAGCTCTAAACTTTATTTTACGTTCATGTCTTTGCTGTAATCAATACAGAGGTCAGCACTAAATGGGTATATCACCCACATCGGCTATAACTATGCACATGAATAGAAAATCCGAAGAACCTACCGAACAAAATGCTTTTGTATAAAATTTAGAATCTTACAGTAAAGTCTTAAAAATACATTTAAAAATGTTTATGATGATGTACAAAGAAAACAGCGTGTGCATTCCTTGTAACTGTTAGTTGTTAGTGCTGTAGAAGTTTAGAAGTATATATATATGTTACTTTAACTTTTTAAAATGTAAAAAAAATTAATTTACCACAAATACACACTTTGTTGTATTTTTAATTTTTACAACATTTCGTTAACGACATCTCTCTCTCTTTTATCTGCATCCTCATGGATATTTTTACTAACCTGTTTAATATACTACAAGTATACAATTCCTAAATTACAATGCAAGGTTTTTCATTCTGACGTATATTGAAATAAAATGGTCTACCAGCATAGGTTTCAACCAGCCTTACTCCAAGTGATTCATATCCTTCGTGAAAACACAGAACATTAAAAATGCATTCACTCGTCTTTTTTTGTTTTCTATTAGCAAATTTTATATCTTCCATTTACTTTAAGTAAAAACATTTTTTTCGTAACAGTAAAAGTATATACGTAGCTAAAACATAGTGAATATCAACTTTATTCCAAGACGAAGAGAAAGGGAATCAAAGTGCATGGTTTAGTGTTTTAAAGTTCAAGAGTCACGTGAAAAGTTAAAAAAGAATTACTGAAAACATACATTTCTGTTACAAAGAAGTTATCTTCTGAAAGGTAATGTTCATACTTTATCATTTTTTTCCTCTTTTTAACAGAAAGGATACTTTTGGAGAATCAAGAGAGAGAACTGTAAAGGTGTAATAATAATAATAAAAAATATATTTTTCTTCTGAATCCTCTACAATTTGCACTTTTGCTTCACGTCTTAGCATTGTATAACAGAAATATTGCTGTTAAAGATAGGCGAGGGGTAAACAAAAATGTACGACCTATATTTCTGATTCTTGGAGAAGATTGCATACATTTTTCACGTCTTAGCATTGTATAACAGAAATATTGCTATTAAAGATAGGCGAGGGGTAAATAAAAATGTACGCCCTACCTCCTGATTCTTGGAGAAGATTGCATACCTTTTTCACGTCTTAACAATATTTAACAGAAATATTGCTATTAAAGATAGGCGAGGGGTAAACGTACATCTTACCTTCCTAATTTTTGGAGAAGGTTATACTGATGCTTTACGTCTTATCATTATTTAATTGAAATATTGCTGTTAAAGATAAGCGAGGGGTAAACAAAAACGTACATCTTACCTTCCTAATTCATGGAGAAGGTTATACTGATGCTTCACGTCTTAGCATTATCTTACTGAAATATTGCTGTTAAAGATAAGCGAGGGGTAAACAAAAATGTACATCTAACCTTCCTAATTCTTGGAGAAG